TTCAAATTAAAACACTCATATTTTCATACACAACATAAAAACTAAGAGATCTATATTTGAGGGTAAAATCTCTTAACCATTTTGAAGTTCAAATTGAAGTTTGAGCTCCATTTTCAATAACCACTAGAATAAAATTTATAAGCCAATAAAACAATATTCTAAACCATTAAAAATAGCACAAATACCATTCTAAATTGCTAAAAAAAAGCTTATATGAATATTGGAACCATTCCAATATTTTTAGATTGATATTTTATATCAAAAAAAGTCCTTCAGGCTATTACGATATTATTATTGCACGGTCATAAATATTTAAGCAACATTACTTTGTTTTTTTTTCTCCATAATAAACCCAACTCCTAATCCCCCTCTTGTTTTTGGCGTAACTAGGAAATTTCAAGTCAATTTATAGATAGGTTGTTTATTCTCTTCTCTATTTTATAAGAATCGCTTTCTACATCAACAATCTTCTTAACTACACCATATGGATTTTTAAACAAAAATTTATAATAAAAAGGAATACTGGACTCCACTGAGTTTAATAAACAAAGTCTTCCACTTATTAGAAGAATCCTGCCTTTTTAAGTCATAAGACAAGATATGATCTTTTCCACAACTGGTTTCCAAGTGAAACATAATCTTGGATTTGCTTCTAGAAAAAGCTTTAAGTAACTAACAGATAACTAACTTAATTTACATCTTAAAAATTCAGCCACTCCATTAATAAATTTCAAATCAACATTGATACAAATTAAAGTACTTATATAAAAATTAACTTTGAAGCATGAGCATAGCAAAAACCAATTAAGAATGGTTGAGATTAAAATGTGGTTTAGTAAATTATTCCATAATTTATTTATGATAATGCTAAGTTAGACCATGTTCTTGGCTTGTAAGAGACACCTTATTTTAGACAACCTTTATGACAAAGTTTTAGGGCATGTTTGGGAGTGTGATTGCGATTATTTCTTAAAGTGTTTTTGATTTTGAAATGCATCAAAATAATATTCTTTTATTTTTTAAAAAATTATTTTTAAGATCAATGCATCAAAACTAACCAAAACATAAAAAAATTATTTTTTACCAAAAAAACTGAATTCCTTAAAAACACGAGTTGACCCACATTTCTAAATGATCTCTAGTTAAGTTTGGTTAATATTCATGAAGCAACAAGTTGCAACATGAAAGGTTATTATTCATTATTATAATTATATGGAGTGATGAAAATATAGTTAGTAAACTCGACTTTCTTCAATGGCTTGATTAAAAAAACTTGGGATCTGGAGTTATAACTTAGACCGAGTTAATATTCAAACAACCTTTTTTATTTTTAGTTTTGAAGGCTAAAGAAACAGGTTGGCCAATCTTACTTCATGCTTTCTATAATTCATTGATTTGACAACAAGTTTTTAGGACATAACAAAGTAGCTAAAACATTAAAGCTAACAGTTTCAGTAACTACAATAAGTCATATTTAGATAAATGCTTTTCTTCATTGAGGAAAAGTCTCTATTCTAATTAATCTTTTTGAGGCACAAAAAAACACAATGTTTTGACTTTCAAAATGCATTTTGGTACTGGGCAAAAGCCCCTTACTTTAATTTTTTTCGAGGTGACTGAACAGAATAATTTTCGATTCTTTTAGATGAAAAAAGGGATCTAATTAATATGCAGCATCTCTGTTCTACAAATTAATCAAGGGATATAAGTCTTGATTCTTAGTCATTAACTAGATGGTTTGTCTCAAACCACGCAGCAATACATCACACAATTATGATGTGTTGTGGAGATATTAATTCATGCAGTTTTCTTGTTTTCTTTTTATGAGAAGTTCTTTTAGCTAGATGTGGTGGTTAACTAAGCAGCATTAGTAGAAGTTTTAACTTAGAAACATCCTTATTTCTTATAATTAAGATTTAATTAGTTGGTGGCTCGGTTCTTGAGTACTTGCTGTCAACTTGGTATACTTGTTTTTGTGGTTGAAGGTCTATGTTTTTACTGAAGGATGCCAATGACAATTAATACTTTCTCAGCTTTAATTTTACTAAAACAAGAAGAAGAATGATACATAGTTTCTTCTCTAGAAAGTGTAAATAGGGCAAGCATAATTTGTTTTAGCAAATTTGGAATCTTGCAAGACTTCTTCTAGATCGGAATTGCTAAGACATCAACACAAGCGACTTTCACTTCCTTTCAACAATGTATGAGTATGAGAATTTTGGAAGTCATGTGCAAATCTTGATGCAGCCATCCAAACAAACTAATTCATTTGGAGAAACCATTTATAGAGCTTATGGAGAGAAGCTCTTGGGATCAGGCTCAGCCTATGTGAAAAGAAATGTAAGTAAATATAGTGACTATCCATAACCATTAGCTATACTTAGTTGTGCTCTTCTTCTTCTTTTTTTTTACGTTTCATGTACTTGGTAACACAACTTACTCGTGATTCCGCCATTTGTTACAGATTAGCAGATATTTATCCAATCCTCGGTATCATTGTGGGAATGCTTTTGTATAGGAATGTTCTTCATCAAAATCATGAAAAGAATTTTGATTGTTGAAGTGAGAAGTTCCCAAAGCATTCAAGCAAGCGCCACTATCTCTTGCTGTTAATCATAGTTGTTGCCTAACTCCCATTGTTGTTTTGGCTCAGAAATGTTTGGGTTTAGAGATTGTTATCTGATCCATGGTTTTGAAATTTGATCTGACTTGACTGCTTAACTCGGGATCCGGTAAATCTAGAGCTGGAATCAGGCCAGGTTTAAGAAAAAATAAGAAAAGAAAAAATCTGGAGTGATCCGACTAACTCGGTGACTCGAGTGGCCCAGCAAGACCTTATGAAAAACCCGATTACAACTCGTTGATTTTGTTTTTTACTAAAATGATATTGTTTTGATTTAAAAAAAATAGAATTGACCCGGGAGATCCGGTCATAACCTAAAATCCGGGCCTTGAACCGGGTCGGATTTAAAAACCATAACATGAACTAATCTTATATTATTTGGTATTGAGTTGGTTTTTAAAATATCTTTTATTTTAAAATATAATAAAATAATAATTTTTTTATTTGTAAAATTTTATTTTTAATATTAATATATTAATATATTAAAATAATTTAAAAATATATAAAAATAATATTTTTTAATTTTTTTAAAAAATACTTCTTTTTTTAATATAAAAAAGGCTTCACTTTAACCTTGGAATTTGAAACATAGTCTAATCCTGCTCGAAAAAATTCTGTGAAAATTAATGTCTTGCCTGTCTGGCCCGTTGGACAACCAAGCCCAGAGTTATGTAAGATGGAGGGCCCTATCAAATAAAGACTTGATTTTGTGGACGAGGTTCAAGCCCATTCTGAAAAAGGCAAGGTTCCGAGCTAAAGATGCGGTGATGGCAAGCTTTCATTAAAAAATAATGTCGTGTATGATGTTTTCATTGAAAGGTGTATTAAAATAATATTTTTAATATTAACATATTGAAATTATTAAAAAAATAAAAATATTAAAATTTAAGCATCCAACTTTTCTAGAATATCTGAGGTCTCTGTTATTGGGAATTGGAATCCAGGTATGATTGCAATCCGGCGGCTCCCATCTTGTGCCTATCCAAATGCAACTTTCCGACGCATTTTTACAATCATTCCATAAAAAGCAATAAGCACCAAATAAATAAAAGCACTCCATAAAAAAGTAAAACAAAATAAAGCCATTATACAATTTTTGTATTTCTTTTTTTTCCTTAAATATTTCATTAAAGCTAAATTTTTTGAATTTTTTAATTCAAGGTATTTTAGATGAAATTTGATTATTGTTAATAAAAATAAAGATTATGAAAGAAGAAAATATATGACTCTCTGTGCTTTCTATTTTAAAAGTATATAAATGAATTTAAAAATATTTATTTTATATGTTCAACAGTGTTTTTTTTATTCAAACATATTTTCATCTCTTTTATATATTTTGTTTTTGTCATAAGGCTTTAATCAAATGTAAACTTCGTGATTTGAACCCGAAATTGAAACTGAGTTTTTTTATACAACTTATTATGTTCAATGATACTCTTAAAACATCAAAACTCAACTATTTTTAAATTAATTTTAAAATTAGCATAGAAGATTTTATAAATACCGTCTCAATTGAATCATTCCTTTTCAATTCTGCTTCTACACGAAAATTTTTATGGTGTATATAAAATAATATGATATTTTATTGGTTATTTTTTAATTTAATTTTTAAAAAAGATAAATATAAATAAAGGTGAATATAAAATCTATAACTTATCAAAAATAATAAAAATATTTTCATATAAGTTTTTTTTCTCTTCTAATTATATTTTTTTATTCTTTTTAAAAAATAGACTTAACTAATATGATATTAATAAATAAAGTATTTACTTATCAAAATGTTTTTTTACTCGTAAATATATTAAAATAATATTTTTTTATTTTTTAAATTTATTTTTATATTAACATATAAAAATACTAAAAAAGTTATTTAAAATTAAAAAATAAAATCCAAAGCATATTAAAACCTAATTTCAAACTTATAATTTATTCGAGATTAAAATAATATTGGATTTAAAAAATAAAAAAATATCTTGATAAAATTTAATTATAATTCATTAATTTTTTTTTACTAAAATATTATTATTTCAATTTAAAAAAATAAATTAACCTAGATAACTGATAAAACCCAAAAACCCTGTCAAAACTTGAAAACCAAATCTTAATCGAGTTTAAAAAGCATGCCACGAAGGGCTCCTTCCACACCCAACCAGACCGTCAAACGCGTAACAGCGTACAGGAACGCCCAAAAAACAGTAAAAAAAAGCGGTTAATTTACGTTTTAACCCGGTAAATATTTTCCAGACTCCAGAAAAGGTAAGGAAAAGGTCAGTCCGTGGTGGTGGCGTGTCCAAATTTTCTTCGCCGTCCAACTAACCTAGTCAAACCAAACCCCACCCCCCAATTCAATTAATTACCCAAAAAAACCTAATCATATAAATAACCGAATTTTCACAAATCCTCACATTGATTTTTATTTTTCTTTTCTTGTCTAGTACTACTCCTTTCCCTTTGCTTTTAGTAAATTCTCTCTCCCTTTCGAATCATTTTCTAGAACAGGAAATTAGGTAAGTTATTTCTTTCGATACCTTCGAATTTAATCGTTTATTTATCCATCCACAGATGCCTAACAACAATTTCTTGTGCCGCCGATCCGTTCTCTGTCCCAACGTTTTTACTTTTTTCTCTTACGATTTGCACCATTTTTTATGCTTAATTGGATTCAATTTGTTTTGGTTGCTGCAGGTTTGGTAAAAAGATTGGAAGATGTTAGAGCAGTTGTTAATATTTACTAGAGGAGGATTGATTTTATGGACATGTAAAGAGCTAGGAAATGCGTTAAAAGGATCGCCGATCGATACTTTGATTCGATCTTGTCTGTTGGAGGAACGATCAGGTGCGGCGTCGTATAATTACGATGCGCCTGGTGCTGCCTCCTACACGCTTAAATGGACTTTCCATAACGAGCTTGGTCTCGTTTTTGTCGCTGTGTATCAGCGAATTCTCCATTTGTTGTATGTGGATGAGCTGTTGGAGATGGTGAAGCGTGAGTTTTCGGAGATTTATGATCCGAAGCGTGTGGAGTATTTTGATTTTGATGAGACTTTTAGGCAGCTTAGGAAGGAGGCGGAGGCGAGGGCGGAGGAGTTGAGGAAAGTGAAGCCGATGGGGAATGATGGGAGGAAGCAGCAGGTGGTGAAAAAGGGTAGTGGTGGGTTTGATGGAGGGAATAAAAAAAATAAGAGTGATGCGAAGGAGGCTGATGGTGATGATGGGAAAGGTCGGAAGTTGGAGAATGGACACTCCAATGGCAATCATAATGTTGTTGGTGAAGGAAATAGAGGGATGGGTCTCGCTAATGGTAAAGAAAATGCGAGATCCAATAATGGGGCTTTTGATGTCAGCAAACTTCAGAAGCTGAAAAGTAAAGGTGTGAAAAAAACTACTGATACTAGTGTTGTTGTTAGCAAGGGTTCGAAAGCGGACCCGAAGAAAAAGGTAACAAAGAAGAATAGAGTTTGGGATGATTCACCGAAAGATGCGAAATTGGATTTTACCGATCCTGTGGAGGAGAATGGGAATGAGAATATACAAGTTATGGCAGCCGATCAAGGCGAGAGCATGATGGACAAAGAAGAGATAATTAGCAGTGACAGCGAGGAGGATGAAGAAGATGAGGAAGTTGGTAAGGACAGCAAGCCTGATGCTAAGAAGAAGGGATGGTTTTCATCTATGTTCCAGAGGTAAAACATTGCAATCTAAATCCTTGTTTTCATTGCTTTGATTACCATCAATCCATTAAGTTGTGTATCATTAAGGTACTGGATATAGAGCATCTCTTCAAGGTCTAATTTTTTTTCAAAAAAAAATGCAGCCTCTTGTGACTTTTACTAGTGTTTTTGGGGTTTGCCATTGTGGCATCTGAGTTAAAGACTCCAGCAATAACTATTATCATGGGTTTTTGGAATGTACAGTTAGTTTTTGGGTAATTAGATAGTTATTACCTTTGCTTTATCAATTAGGCGTCATTACGTCTCTTAGTGTTCTCTGGCAAATCTATTATGTAGAAAAGTTCAAGCTTATTCTATGCTTTAAAGAACAAGGTATGTGATTCACAGTATATATATGATTCACAGTATATATCTAACTGTTCTATTTATAATTTAACATCTTATGAGAAGTTTCGTCCTTGGGATTGATGTGAATGTGAGACTGGGGTGATGGCTTGCCCGGTTGGCATTTTTTCCCTTCACCATGAATGCATGCTTCCACAATTGTTTCTGTTGCCTCTCCTGCGTTATGAGATGTGCAACAAACTTTATGCATGAATCTTTAGACAGAATGTGGGAGTCTAGCATTAGATATGCAGGGTTTGACTTTGTCAAACTTTCTGTTGGTATGTATAATGGGCATGATATTCCTTTTTCAAGGGTTCTCCTACTGAACTCAATCAAAGTTGAATCTCATTAGTTGGACTAGGCTTTTCTTCCTCATATGACTCTTACGTGAATTTTGTTATGCTTTCCTCGGCTCAGTATTGCTGGTAAGGCAAACTTGGAGAAGGCAGACCTAGAGCCAGCTTTGAAAGCTCTCAAGGATAGGCTCATGACCAAGAATGTGGTATGTTCCTGTACTTGCTAGATATTCAGTCAATCATACTTCCCTGTCCTATTTAACATTCTTATGGAGTTACTGTCCTGTGGCAATCTCAGGCTGAGGAGATAGCCGAAAAGCTTTGTGAATCAGTTGCGGCTAGTCTTGAAGGTAAAAAGCAGGCATCTTTCACAAGGATATCTTCCACAGTGCAGGTTTGTTATATCAAAAGTGTCTTCTTTTTTCATTTTTCCCGTTTGATTTAGGAATAAGCTTAATCTCACTTTCATCCCGATTTTATGGCTGCAGGCTGCTATGGAAGAAGCACTTGTCCGTATTTTAACTCCTAGACGCTCTATTGACATATTGAGGGATGTACATGCTGCAAGGGAACAGAGGAAACCATATGTTGTTGTTTTTGTTGGTGTCAATGGGGTTGGAAAGTCCACAAATCTGGCTAAGGTGAAGCTAAGCTCGTATCGCTGTGATTATTATTATTGAATTATCATCAAGTCATGCTTCCTTATTGGGTAGGCTGTTTTTACATGTCATGCTGCAGGTTGCATACTGGCTTCTGCAACATAAGGTCAGTGTTATGATGGCTGCTTGTGATACATTTAGGTCAGGAGCTGTTGAGCAGCTGAGGACTCATGCACGTAGACTCCAGGTACAGAATTGATACCCGCATATTGATGTTGTTGAAGTTATCTGGCCTCTTGATCCGCGCTTGTTTGTTTCTGTGATTCATGCCTGTAAAGGAAGCTTGATGTGATCGTCTTTTTTTTCTGGTTAGATCCCTATATTTGAAAAGGGCTATGAGAAAGATCCAGCGGTTGTTGCAAAGGAAGCAATTCAGGAGGCTACACGCAATGGTTCTGATGTTGTTCTTGTTGATACTGCTGGCCGAATGCAGGTGCTTTATGATTTAATGTTTTATCATGGAGATTGACCTGCTATCTGGTGTAGTCAAATTTTGTTATTAATTGATTGACTCTCAATTTTGCTACAGAAATTGTGCGGAAACTTTTTTCTGTAAGAACACCTTTATAGTATCAAAATGCTAAAGTCAATACAAAAAGAGTTAGATAGAATAGAAGAACCAAGGGGGATCTATGTTTTACTTTTACCTGGCTTTTCTATTTGCTTTTTTTATTAATTCAAATGTTCATGTGCTTCAGGACAATGAACCATTAATGAGAGCTCTCTCAAAGTTAATTTACCTCAACAATCCTGATCTGGTCTTGTTTGTTGGAGAGGCCTTGGTAGGAAATGATGCTGTTGATCAGCTATCAAAGTTCAATCAGGTTTAGTTCTTATAACCTCGTATTCGCTCTGTTATTTTGTTTTGTTGCATCCACAATCAGTTTATGAAGCAACATCCCTTGCTCTTTTTCTTTGCAGAAATTAGCGGACCTCTCAACTTCACCCAATCCTAGATTAATTGATGGGATTTTGCTCACCAAGTTTGACACAATCGATGATAAGGTAGAGTTACGGAAGGCGGTTATTTATTTTTTTTAAAGTTATTTGTTGTATTTACCAACTAAATGTTGCCTGCAATTCCCTTTGATGAGTGTAGGTCGGAGCTGCACTGTCGATGGTTTACATCTCTGGCTCACCGGTCATGTTTGTAGGCTGTGGTCAATCTTACACAGATCTCAAGAAGTTGAATGTGAAAGCTATTATCAAGACTCTCCTTAAATGAGTGTCTTCCTCCTCCGATGAATGTTTGTTGATCAAATGCTGTTCTCTTTGTTTGTCTGCTCTGAATCCTACGGCGAACGAATAACTCCCTGCCAAACTAGTATATTTGTCAAACTCAGTGTGTTGGAGGTGAATCAGTCCCCCTTGAGGCTGTATGTTATGATAATTATTGTTTTATTGTTCCTTCGCTTCCTGTTGTGTTAAAGCTTCTCTCGCAGACACGCTCGCACTCGAACTCGCAGTTTGTTTCCGTCGTCACGTCAACGTCTGGATCCGGGCAGTTGTCCTGTGCCCGCGCAACGTTAGTAGCTGGATCAAAAAACCTTTTTATCGTAAAAATTTAATTAGTCACTATTTGCGTGCACTGTTAGTGTGTTTTTTTAAAAGTAATAAAAATTTATAACTCGGTTATATGCCCAATTAAATTTAATAAGTTCACTTCATATAATAAATAGATAATCATGATAAATCACAACAGGACACTCGTTTCATAAACAATATTCTATTGTCATTCCAAAAATTAATAAGTTCGTGTCATCTAGTCATATAATAAACATATAGTTATGATAAATCACACTAGGACACCCGTTTAATAGTCAATATCCTACTATAATTCCAAAAACAAGCTTAAATAATTAAAAAAATATCACCCTACTAATTTTAATGCAAGTGTACTCAAAAACATAGAATTAATCATGGGAAACACTTAGCTTAAACTTGGATTAGAAATTTCAAGATGATGCACTCTTTTTAATATCAAGATAATGATATGTTATTAGCTTAACTTAGATTGACTTAAAAAAGAAGAAATTTTAAGATGTTCTTTTTCTAATATCAAGATAATAATATGATGAGCAATGATATATTAACTTAAAATAGGTTAATTCATTGAATATGTGATCTGAGTGATGGAGTTGATGAAGTTTAATTAGTTTTTTTTCTTAAATTATTTTTTATTATATTGTATAATAATAAAAATTAGTAGTGAAAATTAATAAACCTACTAAAACATAAAAAAAAAAGGTTATGATGATCTACACAAAAAGAATATTAAGAATGAAGTAAAAAATAAATGAAATCACATAAAATAACATATAAAAATCATTCTTAGTCAATCTAAAAATCTAAAAGAAATTATACATACAATATTCTAAATTATTTAATTATTAAGAAAGCTAATATCTTTCGAGGTAAAAAAAAAGGTCAACTATGCAAGTCTATGGGCTCTGCTAGGTCGAGCCTTAATTTTTTTTTATTTTTGAAATGGATCATTTTCCCAATATTTTTTAAAAAAAAAACAAATAACATATCAATTCATTTACGTGTCCAAGATTTAACCATGATAAAGGTGGCTAAAATTTCAACCTTTACTCTTTTTTTTTTTTTACCTCAAAACCTAATTTCTAACCTATTCTAACTTATAAACACAAGAAAACACTTAACCTCGAGAAACTAATTACCCAATTCAAAGAATCCTTAAATTGGTTAAAAAAACACACAAAAAAAACAAATACAAAAAATCTCTCAACTCTAATTTACTTTTTCAAGGGATAATAAAAATTTAAAAACACTTTAGTGACACTTCTCTTATCAAGAGGGACACTAACACCAAATGTGGTTAATTTGGTTAAGCACATCAGAACAACCAACCTTTTTCTATTTTCTTCATCGTTTTTCTATAAGCTTTTCTTTCCTCAAAGTCACAAACTAAGCCTAACAGCGTTAACACCCTTTTGTTTTGTTTTTTTTCTTTAAAAAAAAGGGCTTCTATCTTACCAAGGTTTTAGTTTTGGTCCCATCATTGTTAATTCCTCACAATTAATAAAGAACTAAGGACTTTTTTAAAATATAATAACTTGATGAGAGATAATAGTGAAAAACAAATCATCAAACCAAATCACCAAATAACACAATATTAAAGGAGAAAAATAAAAAAAATTAATGATCTGACTAAATAAAATAATCAAAGGGCCAATAAAAAAAAATATTTTCTCTTTAAACAAAGGGCTGATATTTCACTTTTCTTTTAGTTTTGGTCATCTCATATTTAATTTTCATTAAACAACTAAAATGAAACCTTTCTTCTTCTTTTTTTTAACAAATGACGAACTATAAAATACAATCACAAACCACCACAACATAAAAATATAAAATTAAAAAAAAAAATTCAGGGACCCAAAAAAAAAATCATCGTGTGAATCCACAGTAATCCACACTGAAACAACGAGTCCTTAATTTTTTTTTAATTTTTAATTTTAATAGCACCATACTCAATATGTTTTTGTAAAAAACTTAAATACCACTTAATTATTATAACAATTCTTCTCCACGCTAAAATGCGTGGTGACATGCACTGTTTTACTGTTCATATGAAGAGTAAAGCAGGTGCACCTTTTTTTTTTTGTTACTTTTCTTTTTTAAAACTTCAAGAGATAAATTAATTAAGAAACATTTTCTGATCAATATTCTTGAAAATCTGGGTATTTTAGCAATTTAATCTTGAGGGATCTCTAGATACAATATGTAACCAATAATGTCGATTTGATTTCCTTGCACCTAAGTAATTTTTCTGTCAATTCTGTATAAACAGAAGGGGAAAGAACTTGGTTTTGATTTTGGCTACTTAAACTATGGTCCAACTTGTTCGTGAGCAATTTTACATCCTTTTGATTGGTGGTTCTTTCAAGCAGAGAGGATCACATTGCTCATCTCCCTCTTCTTTTTCTTTTTTTTTGGATAATTACATCAGCCTCTAATAATTTAATTTAATTTATATTCTGCTTTTATATCTTGAGAAATTATATTTTACATCTCTTAATTTATATATTATATAATAGTTTACATCCTTGAAAAAAAATTAATAACCAAAAAACTCTTATTATATTAAAAAAATTAAAATTGGTTAATGGATATGATAGATTTTTATATAAATAACCATGCTTCATAAAAATATATCCTTCATTAAATTAAAAAAATTATTATAAATTTATCTTAATCTAATAATTTAAGTTATTATGTGAAGTTTTAAAATATAATTTATATAGTTTTTTAATAAAAAAATTTAGTTAAAAAATACATATTTTGTTAAATCATTTTAATTTTTTTAAAATTTTTACCCTAAAAAACAATGTTGTTAATAAAAATAATGCGGATTTGTTAGGTAAAAAGTAAAGTTATAAAATAAAATAATAAGAGATATATGAACAGTGAACTAGCTACCCAGATATTTTAGTTTTTCCTCGTTGTTAATTCCCAGACCTGGCGGCCCTGTCTGGTTTTAACCTTTAACAGTATTGGCGGAAGGGCAGATAATGTAATTATATTCCCAATGGTGGTTTCCGATATTGTGGTTGCCAAGTCACCGATTTCAGATTAAACTAGGTTCCATGTGCACTGAAATCCGAAATAGTAAACACAACTAGATTTTTATTTTTATTTTTATTGACAGAGAAATCTCTCTCTCTTTTTTTTAAGTTTTTTAATGTATTTTTTATATAGTTATTTTAATCATTAAAATTTAGATTTATTTTTATTTGTATATTTTAATATTAAATTTATTAAAAATTAAATTTTATAATTTATTTCGATATACTTTTTATCAAATTAACTCGGTTTTATGATCTAGATTTTTGTTTTAATATGTTAACCTGAATTAATTAATTTATTTTATTTTATTATTCAAGATTGAGTTGCTTGATAATTGAACTTTATATATTTTTTTTATTTGGTCTTTACGGATTTATCTTAGAGATTATAAGTTTTATAGATTTATTCAAATTGATTCATATTTTTTTATCTTTTTTTATTAAATATTTTATTAAATATTTTTTTAAAATTAAATTGATTAAAAATTTAATTTTATAATTTATTTTTATTAATTTTTTATGAAATTATTATAATTACATAAATTAAATTATAAATTTAACAA